ATTGTAACGTATACCAAGATGTGTACTGGTATATTGTAACATAAATCAATACATGAACTGGTATATTGTAACGTATACCAAGACGTGTACTGGTATATTGTAACGTATATCAAGACGTGTCCTGGTACATTGTAACATATAACAGAACACTTGCTGGTATATTGTAACATATAACAGAACGTATACTGGTATATTGTAATATATAACAGAACGCATACTGGTATATTGTAACGTATACCAAGACGTGTACTGGTATATTGTATCATATACCAAGACGTGTACTGGTATATTGTAACATATATCAAGACGTTTACTGGTATATTGTAACGCATACCAAGACGTGTACTGGTATATTGTAACGTATACCAAGACGTGTACTGGTATATTGTAACATATATCAATACATGAACTGGTATATTGTAACGTATACCAAGACGTGTACTGGTATATTGTAACGTATATCAAGACGTGTACTGGTACATTGCGACATATAACAGGACGCATACTGGTATATTGTAAATGATACAAGAACGCATACTGGTATATTGTAACATATAACAGAACGTATACTGGTGTATTGTAACATATAACAGAACGTATACTGGTATATTGTAATATATAACAGAACGCATACTGGTATATTGTAGCACATAACAGAACGCATACTGGTATATTGTAACATATAACAGAACGCATACTGGTGTATTGTAACATATAACAGAACGTATACTGGTATATTGTAATATATAACAGAACGCATACTGGTATATTGTAACTGATAACAGAGCGCATACTGGTATATTGTAACATATAACAGAACGTATACTGGTATATTGTAACATATAACAGAACGCATACTGGTATATTGTAACATATAACAGAACGCATACTGGTATATTGTAATATATAACAGAACGCATACTGGTATATTGTAACGTATAACCGAACGCATACTGTTATATTGTAACTGATAACAGAACGCATACTGGTATATTGTAACTGATAACAGAACGAATACCAGGACGAATACTGGTATATTGTAACGTATACCAAGACGTGTACTGGTATATTGTAACGTATTTCAAGACGTGTACTGGTACATTGTAACATATAACAGAACACATACTGGTATATTGTAACATATAACAATGTATACCAAGACGTGTACTGGTATATTGTATCGTATACCAAGACGTGTACTGGTATATTGTAACATATATCAAGACGTTTACTGGTATATTGTAACGCATACCAAGACGTGTACTGGTATATTCTATCGTATACCAAGACGTGTACTGGTATATTGTAACATATATCAATACGTGTACTGGTATATTGTAAAGTATTTCAAGACGTGTACTGGTATATTGTAACGTATATCAATACGTGTACTGGTATATTGTAACGTATACTTAGACGTGTACTGGTATATTGTAACGTATACCAAGACGTGTACTGGTATATTTTGACGTATATCAATACGTGTACTGGTATATTGTAACGTATACCAAGACGTGTACTGGTATATTGTGACGTATTTCAATACGTGTACTGGTATATTGTAACGTATACCAAGACGTGTACTGGTATATTGTAACATATATCAATATGTGTACTGGTATATTGTAACATATATCAATATGTGTACTGGTATATTGTAACGTATACCAAGACGTGTACTGGTATATTATAACGTATATCAATATGTGTACTCGTATATTGTAACGTATATCAATACGTGTACTGGTATATTGTAACGTATACCAAGACGTGTACTGGTATATTGTAACGTATACCAAGACGTGTACTGGTATATTGTAACGTATTCCAAGACGTGTACTGGTATATTGTAACGTATCCCAAGACGTGTACTGGTATATTGTAACGTATTTCAAGACGTGTACTGGTATATTGTAACGTATACCAAGACATGAACTGGTACATTATAATTTATTTTCAGAGGTAATTAAAAGACACGCCGTTTAATTTGGGATCGATCATCCATACATTAATGTTTGCAGATTTCCTGCATTGCACGAGCTCATTTTACTCGATGCAAATTAAGTATATTATTTATATTTGCTGAACCTACTAATATATTGAATTTAGGTTACGTTATTTGTTATCAAGCAATGAGTATTTAAATTAATAAATAATTAGACACGATAAGATATCAATATATTATCAGATGAGTTGAATTTGTAGCAGATGGTAGGCCGTATATACATGAAAACATCTTGCATGTTGTCTGACGCAACGCCTGTTTCTTTAGTTTAGTTACCGGTCATTGATTGTCGAGTACCGTAATTCGGTTGGTTCCGCTATAATAACAAATAAACAAGGTACAAGCAAGTTAGTGGAATTTACTCCTAGCACTGTAATAGCGCGTATACACAAGATATTCGACCCTTCTTTGAAATATTAAATTTGATATGTAAAATAATTACATATGCGTGTTTTTTATAGGTTACAATGAGGAACCATGCCAAAGCAACGGTGGCAGATGTTGGAACGACAATCAATGTTTAAACGATGACTACAAGAGTGGAGAGTGTCCCACCCAGTCTGGATCTATTAAGTGTTGTTACAGTGGACCAAGTGATGGTGATGTTTACCTTTTTAAATGGGTTAAGAACACGTGGTCATATTAAGTTGTAATGCTCCTGCTGTAAAAATGTTCTATTAGTTCAGTAGTCTTAGTTTTAATAATATTTGAATCCAATGAATTTAGTGCTAACAAATTGAATTTCAATATTTGTGACCAAAATATCTTACATACAACTAGTCACTATACCATGACAAATCATTGGCAAACTTTTAACGTTTTGTCAGTTTTGAGAATTAGCTCTGTAACATGAACACGTGTTTTAAAAGGACATATATGCGTTTAACTCGGGCAATCTTTATTCATTATCTAGGCAGGTAAATTAGTTTACGTATCAGAAAAGTTGGAATGGGGGAATAAGATACTGGCAAGTCGTGCATTGCTTGCAAATTTCAAATTCTGGATTGCCAAAATTGTCTGTTACATGTTAACCCACTCTCCTTTAAGATTCCGTCAAATAATGTCATACACAGTTAAACGCAAATAATTTGCGACCATAATTTAGGCAAACAGTGGCGGCGGCACATGGGAGCAGAGGGGGCCGGCTCTCGACAAAAATGTTGGGGGCGTCGCCCCTCCAAAATCAAGCTGAAATCCTCAGCAAAATGTGCCCCTCAAAATGCAGGAAATAGCGTTTCAAAGAGTCTAGATTTCAAAATTGTTAAGGGGTGCATGTCCCTGGACCCCCTAGTAAAGTCGCGCCTTCAGCGCAGGGTTGGTGAGCAGATCTCGTCTCCTCATGCACAATCTCGTGCCGCCGCCTCTGGCAAAGCAGGATGTTTGCTGCAATATAAATCAAAGCTCACGTTAGCAAGAGGAATAAGAAGCTTTAGTAAGATAGTCACTCATAATAGAGAATTGACTCTAAGGGTCAAGTAGAATGACTGCCATTTAAACGGATTGAATGCCGGTATGAACAGAACGGAACGGAACGCGTTTATGAAGCTAATTTTTCCTTCATTTCATCCTGGTACATACGAATATACGCTAAATTTGTCTACGGTATCTGTATATCTTGCTCTGTTATTCTTATTTGTTGACGTTTAATGTTATTGTAGGTTGTGCTACTAGTTGTGGAACCAAAGCAAAAGAACTTGCCTGTGATATCCAAGCACATAGCTCCATCTATTTGTTGACAGTTAATCCATCAGGTGTTGATGACGGTGCCGATGCTGCATCAAATATCAGGGATACATGTAACGGTTGCATGGCCAAACGATCAAGGTAACACACCATATTTAATTTATATTATGAATCATTGTAAAATTAAAACAGTACAATATTGATAAACGTACTTTTATTTATACAAGTTGTAGTTTGGGAGTAAAAAGATATACAAATATTCTGATGGCAATTTAACAAATACTATACAGCTCACTACAACTCATGGTTCTTTTCATGAACTTTTCAACGTTGGATGATATATTCGATTCGATCAAAAAGAATTTAATGCTTACTTGTATAGACGTTTTCCCATAATTAAACATTCACATTCTGTAACAATGCCAAAGCATGACAGTTCCTCAGTGCGTATATAACGTGAATTAGTAGATTTTTGTAATCGCTATATGTAACAACGCTATATCTCCGAATGGTTTGCTAGGTACACATGAACTAATCAAAATACGTCTCATAGAGGAGCTTATACTGTATATGATTTTTGTTCATATATTTGCATATTGTTGAAGTTTTCTGATTATTGATATTATCATATAAAATATCGTATTTAAATTAAATATGGCATAACAATATGACGTGATTAATAATCTACAGATGTATAAATAATGGATAAAGGCAACCTGGTAACTAAAACCATCAAAACAGCTATCATTCTCTATTCTTGTTTTATTTTGTTTAAATTGAACATTGATCAGATTAAGGTAGAGATGCAGTTTATTTGGCTTGCTTTTTAATTGAGTAATTAGACAATGAAGATGGTATTATATATCCAACATGTTATATATTTTCTGAAAGCTTATTATACAAACTTTGTAAAACTTGTCTTTATTTTGAATATCCAGAATGCGTTTTTAATTTTGGGTC